GGGATTGGGATTTGGGATTGGGATGGGATTTTGGCAAATGGGAGGGGATTTTGGCAAAAGGGATGGGATATGGGATGGGATGGGATAGGGGATTCTCCCATCCCATTTAATATGGGTGGCAAGTATACATATGGTGAAAATCAAGATGATCCGGTTAGCTAGGCTTGAAGAAATTAAAGAATCCTTTAATTTTACTGAAGCCTCACAAGCATTTTTTTCGAACGTAATTTTTCAAATTTTCATTCCTGAAATATTTAAAAATTATGTTCCATGATTTTATCATTTGAACAAAAAATACAAAGAGAACTCTGATTGGTTAAATGAAACTATGCTTAACTTTATCAGTAAGAGAAAAAATGAGATTAATAATATGCAAAGTGATGAAAAGGTTGGTTCAAACTTGTTTGATATATTATTGACATTAAACACTCCACTCGATCCTAATAACTATGATGGAAGCGAAGCTCCATTAACTGATCAAGAAATTTGTTCCACCATTACGGAAGTCAGTGTAGGTGGTACAGATACGGTATGTTTTATATTTTGAATTATTAAAAGTATAATTTTTTCATTTAAATAATTTATTTAAATAAAAAATGATTTAATACCATATTAGACTGGAAATATATTCTGCTACACAATCTGGTTATTAGCCAAACATCCTAAAGTTCTTACACATTTTCAAAAGGAAATAAGTGAAATTTTAGGTGATAATATATCACGAGAAATAATCTATGAAGATTTGGAAAAATTTGCATACCTTGACGCAATTGTAAAAGAATCCGCACGAATATTCACATTTGTACCATTAACACCACATGTTTCAACACAAGAAAGTATTATTAGAGGAAATCATTTGGAAGCTAATACAAATTTCTTTGTTGGTCATGAAATAATTCATAAATTACCTGAATTTTGGGAAAACCCTGATGAATTCATTCCAGAAAGATTTTTAGATAATGAAATTGCTAAGCATTCTTTTATACCTTTTGGAGGTGGTACGAGAATTTGCCCAGGAAAGAATATGTCTAATGTAGAATTGAAAGCCTTGTTGATTTTGTTGTTTAGAATATATGATGTTGAATTGGTTGATAAAGTATCAGAAAAACCTAATATTAAATATTCATTTTTTTATCAGTGCCTTGATATGAAAGTTGTTGTACGTCCTAGATGTTAAACTATATATTTTTTATTTTTAAATTGATGTAAAATATTTTTCTTTTTATTATTATAAGTTAAATAAATTTATATATGTATATTTTGTTTCATGATTATGAGTACTTTTATGTGATAAATTATATCTTGTTAATAAGAGTTCATATATTAAAGACCATGTCGACATGCAGGCCACATTAGATGGACCTCGTCAAATTTTTTAACGATCACGATATAACAGATTCTTTTTTTTATAATGGAATTTTATTAAATTTTATTTTATTTTAATTTTATTTTTTTTACATATTAAATATATATAGGATTTTTACTTTTGGGGTTTTTTATCTTTTATATATTTTTAATTTCTCTTTTTTCTTCTTGGTACACTGCCTTTAGATTCTGGCAGGGTCTACTGCATTTTTATTCTTGTACTACCTGTACTACCTCAACTCTTGAGTGTAGTCATTACTATGATATTGATATGCTCACAATCATTATAGTACCGATGAAGTACAGTAAACAAAGTAAACAAAATAATTATATAGAAGATTTAATAATGTAAACTATTCATTTATTAAAATTTCATTTCACTTTTTTATGGTATTCACCAATAGCTAACACTAACAATTTTAGTCGTAAGGTAAAAATTTTTACTCATCATTTTGGAATTGCATCATAAAGATATAATTTTGTAATACAATAATGCAATAATACATTAACGATAATACAATAATAATAATACCAACATGTAATACAGTTTAGAAATAATCAATCAAATTTACTTCATGCATCGTATTCTATACATATCCCTAAAAATGGGAAAAAAATGATATAATGTCATTTTAAACAAATAAACATCATCAAACCACCCGTTCTAAAGTTATACTAAGTCAATGAATTGAAGTCGCATCTAAAAATGAAAGGAAAACAACATCATTATTGAATATTGTTTCAAATGCAATTACTTACTGCCTATTCCAAGACATCATGTTCAAAATCATAAATTACCTCAGAAATCACTTTAATGTTTTATTCACTATTAAATATATTATATCAAGTCCAATATTTGTTATTTTGATCGGGCTATCTCATATATTACTATGTATTAGCATAATGATAAATTATTGGATAGTAACGGGAGTTTATTATAAAAATTGCATGAAACGGTCCCGTCAACTGATAATATTATTATTGAATGATTTAACCAAATAATAGTCTAATGCAGCACTACGTGCCGCTATTAGACTATTATATAGTTTTCCAAGTAATTGTAATGAAACATAGTAAATAAACCATAGTATAATGCTCTCTCTTCATCTCATTTTTGACTGTTCCATTTTTCTATCATCACGATGATTCTATTTCCCATAGAGCGTCTAAAATTTCTTAATTAATTAACTTTTTTTAAGCAAGTTTATTGTCCAATAAAATATAACTACGTAATTTCAGGTTTCGGTTAGGATTTCATGTATATATTTTTGGAACACGTTATTTTTATTTTCATAAATAAAATTAAAAATCATAAAAAGTCTACAAAGATTCTAATAACGTAAATAACCTATTTACTAATAATATTATTATTATAAATGATTGTTTATATAATCATATGCAAGAATACATAAATCATTGTATTTTTGAACTATAATATTATGTGACTTAAATTCATTTACTTCATCTTTTAAAAAAAATAATTCATCATCAAACTTATCATCATCAGAACCCGATTCTAAAATAGCCAAATATTTAACCTTTTCTTTCTTCATAATATATTTCTTTATACAAAATAAAATATTTTCACCTTTACCTATCACTATATTTCTAATTAATAATTTCTTAATAAAAGTATTTTGTGAATTTTTTAAAAATATTTCCAGATCACTTGTCTTAAATGAAAGGGATAAACATAAATATTCTAATTTAATAGGAAGAACCTGTCCTAAATTCTGTAATACAGTTGAACTTAATTCTTTATAATTAGTATAATTATCAATATCTACTTCAATAGTAATATAATTAATATTATGTTGATTATTTTCAATGAACAAATAAATATTATTATCATCATCAGGTATTCCTGAATCAAAATATCTAATCTTTTTACAATATTTCGTAATAAATTTAAATAATTGTCGTTTTGGTTCATCATATTCATCATATTCAAATCCAAAATTTTCTAAATAATCAATAAATTTCTGTAATAATAATTGCAATGATTCAAAATGTAATATTTCATTCACAAATAAAGATCTTAATTTAAAAGGTTTATTAACCTTAATAATTTGTTGAACAAAATCAGAATTTAAAGAATCACAATAAAGAATATGAATAGATTCTAAAACATTCAATTGATCAAAAGCCTCTTGCAAAATATTAATTATATTTTTAAAATCAATGAAACAAAATATAATTGTATTTAAAGTATTTGAACAATTAGAATTTTTTAATGATAAAAGTGAATCATGTGGATTAATATAATATCCAAATGAAATTTTTTTGAGATTATGTTGTGAAATAATTATTTGTGTTAAACAATTTTCAATTAATGATAATGAATGACCAATACCATATGTAGGAAAAAAAAAGATAATTGATGAGATTGAATTGCAATTAGAATATAAAAATTTCAAAAATGAAATAGTATTTTGAGGTGAAATAGCATAATGATCAAAATTTAAATTTCTGATATTATATGTAAGTTTTGGATTTTGTAAAATCAAGTCTATATTATCATTAAAATATCCATCACAACCATAATCTGTAATCATTACAACTTCAAAAGAAAGTAAATTTCCTTCACTTTCAATAAATACTTCAAATAATGACCTATAAACTAAGTTTCCTAACTCATTATTATATATATCCACTAGAGTATCAACCCAATATTTTATAGACTGACAAATTTTACTTGTATCTAAATATTTAATAAAATTAGGATAATTGAATAATAATGTACTATTTGAAAGTAACAAATTATCAATAATTATGTATTCATTAAATTTTGCTTTGCTATCTTCATTTAAAAAGCATAAATAAGTTTCAATACAACGATAATGTTGGGTAGGAATTGAAAATGGATCTTCCCATAATAATGGAATGGCTAAACGACACCATAATCTATTAACTAAAATACATGAATATAATGTTGATAAATCTTTTCTAAAATACTGTATAATTTCTTCTATTAATTCAGGTAAATCCCCTGAAAATATTTTCGAGCATGCCATGTTATCGGTAAAGTAGTTTACCTTCATTTCAAAATGAATAAATTTATTAATTTTCGGAGTTGTACAATTATTTGGTATTCCATAAAAAGGCAACAATAGAACCAAATATCATTCCTTTTTTATCACTGGTTTCATAATTGTACTACCTTTACAATTGTCACGTAATAGTGATCACGTGATCAAATACAAAAATTTGAATTTACTGTACATTCAAAAAGAGAATGAATGTTTGCTCTTACTATTTACTATCATTTATTAATCTTTGAAATAATATATATGAATAAACTTAAAATTCATTTAAAATTACAACTAGAATACATAAAAAATCATTTTTGGAAGTACCGTATAATTCCAACTTGTTAATTCAGTCAGTTTTCCTGAAAAAGTTTTGAACATGCCATATTGTAAAAATGAAAAGAAGTAATATTTTATATTAAAATTTCCAATCAAAATAATTATTATATGTTTCGGAGTTTGAGATCCCGTATTTGAACACAACAGATAGCTTTTAGATCACGCGACCCAAACGAGGATTTACTTGCAAAGGGATCCTTAACGTGTACCCGGGGTATAAGATATTATCCTATACCCTTTTCCTTCAAAATGTGGTACAATTATTCATTATTAGCCTCAAAAATTAATTGGGTGTTATTATCATTATTTTTGTAAAAATATTTGTTTCACGTGCGCGCGTGAAAAAAATGCAAAAAATGATTTCACAATATTTACAATATTTTAATTTCAAATAATACAAAGACTCAAAATTTTAAGATCTTTTAATTTTTAACATCTTAAATCAAATAAAGTGCTTTATAATTATATTGTTTATCAAAATTTTAATAAATGGATACAAAAAAATTCTAACAACATTTGTATAATCGAATAACTTTTATATTTGTATTGAGTAATTTATATTAATAATACGCTAGTATGATCTCATCATACTCTCAGCATCCAAAAAGTGAAAATTCCAGGTTATGGTAAATTTTTAAGAATCCAATAAGCGGTTTATTTTAAAGGCATCTGTTAAAGCCTGCTTGCCCAATTTTAATTAAATATTTATTGATTGACTCAATGGGTGAAGTGCTTGTTAATTTTCAAAAGTAGAATCAACTCTTCCACAAAATTTAAAGATCTTCATAAAGCAGGTATAGTAACTTCTTCTTCAATTTATTAATCATCTCTCCAACAAATTTCATCCAAATAATAATTAGAATATCTAAAAATAAAATAGCGAGATTGAACGTTAAAATTCATTATAAAATAATGATAATATAATTAACAAACCTTCATATCAGATCCACTAAAAATTTTTCCCTTTTTTACACGTTACAAATGGATTTGTTACGAATTGCATCTTGATATAAATATTTAAATTACAGAATAGTCGTATAAAATAAATGCACTGCCCTCCATTTTATATCCTAACTTGTAATATGTCTTATTCCTTGAAGAATAACAGGACCCAGAAATATATATATAGGGGTCAGGTGATGAAAAAAAATTTTTACTATGAGCTGTACGCATTTTTTCAGGGCCGGAATTATGATAATGTCAGTCGGTTACTATAATGGGAATTAAACTTCTGACTGGAATTATCGGAAATTATCTAAAAAAGGAAAGATTTTCATGATTTTTTTAGTTCAAAATACGCAAACTCAAACCTGACCCTTTTATATATATTTCTGGGTCCTTGTAAAACTGCAGATTATAATGCATCGGAAAATCCAAAAAACAGTATATATGGTGTTTTACCTTATATTGCCTGAAGTTTTAAGAGGGCAAAATTATACTAAAGCTGCTGATATTTATAGTTTTGGTATAATTACGTATGAGGTAATTTCTGGACTACCTCCATACCATGATGTAAGCCATGACAAAAATTTAGCAATAAAAATTTATCAAGGACTTAGACCAAGATTTAGTAATATTAAAGTACCTCAATTGATTGTGAATTTAGTCAAAAGATGCTTGGATGCAAATCCAATAAATCGACCGGAAACAGTAGAAATTGAAAATATTATATTTCGATAGTGGTCTGGTAATGAAGAATTACAAAAACAAATTAAACAAATTGAAGAATCAGAAAAAATCAATAATAGTCTACCAACTAGTAGTATACCTTTGACAAGATTATCATATGAAACTCATTCAGAAGCTGTTTATACAAGTAGATTACTTAATTTTAATAATCTTCCGGAACCAAAAAATTCAATGACAATATAATTAGTGATAAATTTTCAGGTAAATAATGTAATAATTTTGTAAATATGTAAATTTAATATAAAAAATATTAATATATTTTTATTTTACTAAATAGAATCTTTACAAATTGATATTTCTCAATTGAAAATTAATGAAACTTAATATAGATGGTAAATTTAAAACATACGGTATATTAATTAAACTCTGATTTTTTATTCGTATATTTAATTAAAAAATTCTATTTTAGGTTAAAATAGTAAATCTAAAGGTTAAAATATATATTTTGAGAGGTGATTTTCGATCAGACTATTTAGATTGCAAGTAACATTTTGCGTAGTTCGTGATATGTTATCGTGAGCAAATTTTCATCAATTTTTTTACAAATTTCTATTTAATTTACTGATTTGGGTATCTTTAGAATAAATGTCAAACTATAAAATAATTTAATCATACACAACTTTTTTATTAATTTATAGAGAATGACAACGGACTATATCAGGATATGCGATTACAGGGTCTTTCCCACTTGTAAATTTGAACAATTGAAAAATAATATTTTATATTAGTTTGAGACTTTAGAGGTATAAAAACTATTAATATTGAATTCAATTACCTCTTACTTATAGACAATTATCAAATCAACATTGCAATAAATACTATTAATCCGAAGAATGTTTCGTCGAAAATATTTATTTCAATAACACTATATCCATAAAAATTGTTATTTTCTCATTTATTATTAGGTGAATTGTCAATGTAAATAATTTCATCATAATGGTCACAATAAATGAGAAGTTGGCCTTTTTATAACGAATTTTAATATAAGAAAGATTTTTTACAAGATAAATTTAACGATATTCTTGAAATAAGCATTATTAAAGGTATCATGACATTCTTAATATTTTTGATATTATTGCACATTCAATGATTTATCATACTAAAAATTTGAATCTATGGTTAGATAGTTTTTTTATTCTAAGTAGTAGTTATCAATGAGGCAGTTTTTTTTTTCTGTTTCAAATAAATCTTTTAATCGAATTTAAGTAATGAATAAAATTACTTTTCTTAAATTCATTAGAATAGACAAAAAAGACATATGACTAGCCTAGTCTTTAAAATTCTAATGAAGTTTAAAGTTTTAGTTGTACTGAAAGATACGTTTGTATACTGAGAGATACGGAAAAATTGCACAATTCCGTATCTTATGTGATACGTTTTTCAGTACTCTCGCTCGGTATACAAAACGTATCTTAAGAGATACGGAATTATGCATTTCTCCGTATCTTTCAGTATACAAAAACGTAACTAAATGTATCTCTCAGTATACAAACGTATCTTTCAGTATAAAAAACTTATCTACTTTTTTACAGGGAGACTTTGAATTATAGATCAAAATTAATTAGGTCATTCTGTGGTATAGTGTATTTGGTGCATTAATTTGTGTTACAAAAAATAATATATACATTGACTTTTAAGAAAGTAATTTAATATAATATTTTTTCTGAAAAATAAAATATTTTTTCTTAAGGGGATCCTCAGAGACTAAACGTGGATTTGATTTGATGTTAATAATAATTGTGACAAAAAGAAAACAATATATAAACTTAAAAATATTAATAAGATGTTATTTATTTAATTTGCTCAATTACAAACCAATTTATTTATAAAATACAAATTTACATTACAATTTATAATACTATAACTATATATGCTATAATCAGTGTTGAGCAAATAATATAAAATATATATTGTAAATAATTGTAAATGTTCCGCAAAAATAACTGTGATAACCCAAGTATACTGAATTTCGTTCTTAAATATTTATATACTTAATTAAACCTTGCAATCTAAACATTCAGAGTTATCATTATATTTGGAAAGATCCTTTGTAAAAGGGTTAAGTAATCGAGATACATAAATAGCCTGTGGATGAGTAGCTGCTTGGTAATTTTTAATGGATGAAAGATTTGATTTTCTATATTTTTCTGCCTCATTAAATTGAACTTCAATTTCTTTATTTTCTACAATAAAAAAATCTACCCAGATGATTTATAAAATGATGTGATTAAATCATCTACTTCAATAATATTTGGTCTATTGTTTAGGTCTGAATCCCAACACTTTTTCATTAAACTAATATAACAGCTTGGCGCTTCTGGTTCATTTATTTCTGGCCTAACTCCTTTACAAATATCTAATGCAAGAAGATGATCATGTGCACGATCGTAAAAAGGTTGTCTTCCAGTTGCTACAAAATACATGATCATACCAAGGCTATAGATATCTGCTGCTTGAGTGTAAAGCTTTCCTCTTAACACTTCAGGAGCCACATAAGGCATAACTCCATAAATTTTTGTTTCATCTTCATTACCAACTTCTCCAAATAATCCCATGTCTGAAATTGATATACTATTACCAAAATTATATATCTTCTCCCTTAAAAATAATATATTTCCCGTATGAAAATCATGATGAATATATTTTTTTTGATGAATTTCTTCAAGACCACAAATAATATTATCCAATACAGATAATTTATCATGCCAATTGAAACATTCATAATTCTTATTTATCCAATTATTAAAATTTCCTTTTTTTGCATATTTGAAAACTATAATATATTCTTTTGTATTTGGATTTTGAGAGATTCCATATATACTAAGATTATTACTTCTTTTATTTATTGGAAAATTTTCGATCTATTAAGATAGGTAAATAAATAAAAAAATTTATTATTTATTATGGATTTTTAAATTAAATTCATAAAAAATTTTCTATAAAAATTACATACCTCATTTAAAAATTTATTGTTAATATTTTGTGAATTATGTAAACATTTTAAGGCAATTATTTTATTTGTATCACTTTTATATATTTTATTATTTTCATCATATTATAATAAACCATCTTTCCATTTTGCTGAATATACTGTAGCAAATCCACCTTTACCTATTTCTTTAATATTATTAAACTGATTGTATGGTATCCATTCAAATACTATATCATTATGATCATTTATTTTAAATTGCATTTCTTGAATAAAATCATCGATTATTTCATTTCCACTCAAACAATTTACTAAGTTTATGAAATTATTTTGAACCAAAATATAATCATTCGTATTTGGATTTTGAGATATTCCATACAATACAAGAGATACCCATATTTTGTTGAATATTTCTTAGCCTAATAAATAATAAAAAGAAATTAATATACTGTTATTAAAAGACACTATAAATATTTGTAAGAAATTTTATACCTTATTTATTAGGAAATCAATAGAATTTTCTGAATTATGTAAGTATTTTAAAGCAACTTCTTTATTTGAATCTCTTGTGTATCCACCATGATGATAATGCAATGGTCCATCCCTCCATACTGCTGAGTGTATTGTTACAAGACTGTTTTTGCTTGTTTCTTTAATGTGGTCAAATTGATAGTATGGTATCCATTCAAATATTGCATCCTCATAGTTGTTTATTTTTAATTGCATCTTTTGAATGAAATCATCTATTTCTTTATTTCCACTTATCCAGGTAAAATTTTTTTGGACTAAAATATAATCATTTGTATCTGGATTTCGAGATATCCCATATAGTATTTCACCAAATTTACTTGCTGAATATTTTTTTACCTGAAATATAATCATATAATAATAGAAATAAGTATAAATATATTTATAAGAAAAAAAATAACTTAAAATTTTATACCTCATTTATTAGAGAATCAATAGGATCCTGTGAACTATGAAAAAGCTTCAAACCAACTTTTTCCATCTCTTTACTATAAAAATTATCCTTCCATACTGCTGAATATATTGTAATAGAATTATTTTTGCTAATTTCTTTAATTTTGTCAAATTGACCATAGGGTATCCATTTAAATAATGGATTATTTTTGCTATTCAGTTGCATTTCCATAATGAAGCCATCAATTTTTCCATTTCCACTCACCCATTTTAGAACTAAAATATAATCATTTGTATTTGAATCTTGAGAAATTCCATATATACCACGATTTTTTCTATCAAACATATTTGTTAAATAATTTCTAACCTATATAATAAAATGATGAGTACTTATTCATATTATTAAGAATATTTATAAAATGTTATACCTTATTTATTAAAATGTCAACAGAATTTTGTGAGTTATGTAAATATTTTAAAGCAACTTTTTTATTAGCATCTCTTACATAAATTTTACATAATGGACCATCCTTCCATATTGCTGAATATACTGTTATAGGGCCATTTGTGTCTGATTCTTCAATTTCATTAAACTGATTGTATGGTATCCATTCAAGCACTATANTGTTTATTTTTAATTGCATCTTTTGAATGAAATCATCTATTTCTTTATTTCCACTTATCCAGGTAAAATTTTTTTGGACTAAAATATAATCATTTGTATCTGGATTTCGAGATATCCCATATAGTATTTCACCAAATTTACTTGCTGAATATTTTTTTACCTGAAATATAATCATATAATAATAGAAATAAGTATAAATATATTTATAAGAAAAAAAATAACTTAAAATTTTATACCTCATTTATTAGAGAATCAATAGGATCCTGTGAACTATGAAAAAGCTTCAAACCAACTTTTTCCATCTCTTTACTATAAAAATTATCCTTCCATACTGCTGAATATATTGTAATAGAATTATTTTTGCTAATTTCTTTAATTTTGTCAAATTGACCATAGGGTATCCATTTAAATAATGGATTATTTTTGCTATTCAGTTGCATTTCCATAATGAAGCCATCAATTTTTCCATTTCCACTCACCCATTTTAGAACTAAAATATAATCATTTGTATTTGAATCTTGAGAAATTCCATATATACCACGATTTTTTCTATCAAACATATTTGTTAAATAATTTCTAACCTATATAATAAAATGATGAGTACTTATTCATATTATTAAGAATATTTATAAAATGTTATACCTTATTTATTAAAATGTCAACAGAATTTTGTGAGTTATGTAAATATTTTAAAGCAACTTTTTTATTAGCATCTCTTACATAAATTTTACATAATGGACCATCCTTCCATATTGCTGAATATACTGTTATAGGGCCATTTGTGTCTGATTCTTCAATTTCATTAAACTGATTGTATGGTATCCATTCAAGCACTATATCACTATTGTTATTAATTTTCAATCGACTTTTTTGAATAAAATTATCAATTTTTTCATTTCCACTGTCCCATACACAAATCCTTTGAACCAAAATATAATCTCCTGTATCCGGATTTTGAGAAATTCCATACAATACTTGTAATGCTTTATGTTTCATTGAATATTTTTTAGCCTAAATATAAACAAAAGAGATTGTAATTTACTAGTTTCAAAAAAATTACTTAAATATTTAAAGAAATTTTATACCTCATTTATTAAAGAATCAATAGATTCTTGTGAGTTATGTAAGCATTTTAAGGCAACTTTTTTATTAGCATCTCTTACATAACTTTTATCCCATGAAACAATTTTCTTACATAATGGACCATCCTTCCATATTGCTGAATATACTGTTATAGGACCATTTTTGCCTATCTCTTTGATTTCATTAAACTGATTGTATAGTATCCATTCAAATACTATTTCATTATTGTTATTGATTTTTAATTGCATTTTCCGAACAAAGTTATCAATTTTTTCATTTCCACTGGTCCAACATATAAGATTTTTTTCTATATATGTAAGAATGTTTGATGGATTTTTTTTAGAAGACATTATATAAAAGCTTAAAAAAAATTTATTAATAATATCATATTGTGACCATTATATATATAAATCACACGTAAGAAATTTGAACACAAAAATCCAAAAAAGATAAGCTTATGTAAGTATTACAAGTATTACATAAGCTTAGTAATAATTTTTTTTAAATGACTTAATCACATTGGATAACAAAGGTTAATATATTAAAGCCACAATCATTAGAGTATTCTCAATACATTATATATATATATATATATAAATTTTTTATTAATAATTTAATAATAAATATTTATATTTGAAAATAAATATAGTAGGAAATATTTTCACTGGTTGCTAATATATATAAATAATGTATATAAAGCTTACTTTATAATATTATGATTGATTTTATAAAATTATCTAATTAAATCATATTTTATATTTTGGAACTTGAACATTATTAAATTGAAATTTAGTGTAAGAAATTAAAACAGATATAATTAAAGTTTAACTTAAAATGATATATTCGAATTTTTTATCAACTTGGTTTATTATTTATCTTGTACATAACTTATTAAAATCTTTATAAAAATGCTAAAAACGAGCGTGAATATAAAAAAAAATAGCATTGAATCGCTTTATTTGTGTTGCGTGATCGACATGAATTTTGTAACTTTGAAAAAAAAAGTCAATTAAATTAATTTTTGCAATATCCCTTGTTGCATTTCAACAAAAAATATGTATAACAATTTTTTTATTTATCTCATTTATAATAAAATCATAAATCACTACATGATAGTAAATTCGTATTGACTTTGATGACTTTTGAATGACTTTTTGAAAAAAATTACGACATAGCATTCACGTGATTAAAAATAAACATATAAAAAAAATGAGAATATAAAAAAGGAAACTTTTTTTAATAATTAATATAATTTTTTTCATTGATAATTTGATTAAGAAATTAGAATAAAACAAGAAAAACGATTCAAACCGAAAAAATAAATTATTGTTATATTATTATTATTTTCGATTTTTTCAATACCGAAAAAAATTTTTTTTTAATCATAAAAGGCTTAAATAATAATATAATTAATATAAATAGACTATATTTTAATATGACAATTATTATCATTACAACACATCATCATTTGTTAAATACTACATAACAAAGGATAAATCGCATAGGAGATACAGTAAAGATAAATTTCTCGATGATGAGTACAATAATATCATGGCTGTAAATAGGAAATTAGGGATATGTTTTAAACCGATTTTAATATGCAATAAAATTACTAATTATCATTTTCACGCCGCGTCGCCGCGAGGACATTCTATTGATGATCATATTTTAAAACAAAAATGTTTAAAATCAAAAAAAAAAAAGACTGTTATAAAATATAATGTTTTATGCATATGCATTAAATGAAAAGTATATATGCATTCACAATATTTATTAATATGACAATTAATCTTAATAATATAATTTCACTCTTTTGCTCTTTTGCAGTCATAGGATAGTATTTTTTGGATTGTGACATTGATAAGCTCTTTTTTGATCATCAGATTAGATAAACTTTTCATCAGTAAATAAAAATTCAACAGTCGAGACCAAATAAAGTATTGAACCAATCATTCTATGAGAAAATGATCTCATCATCACAATTAATGATCCTCATATAACCCTTAATAAAGTAAATACCGATTACCAATAAAATTGTACCTTAGTTTAACATCATCTTTAATCCCCATTTGATGATATTCCGGACCGCAGTAAATAAAAGTACTTAAGAATTTTATACACTAAAACAAGATACTATAAATATTTCAAAAATATTAATTGCCGCTGATCAACTTCATCTTCAAGAATTAGTTGATTATTTACAAAAGTATTTAATTAAAAATAAATCAGAATGGATTGAATAATATTTTGGACTTATTCATCAAATAAGTTTTCAATAAAATTTATTATTAAAGCTTCAACAATTTTGTACTGATTATATCGCTGAATTTCCCGAAAAAATGTTTAAATCGCTTAATATATCCCATATTATTACATTTATTAAAGTAGAAGGATCAGAAGAAATTATTGAAGAATTCATGTGATGGTGAATGGGATAAAACGAAAGATAGTTTTATATTTTCTTTTAAAAATAAGAATAATGTTAAAGTTACAATTTTAAGTCGTGTAAAGGATTTGGATCGAGCTTTATTTAATTGTGATGAATTTGGTCCTGCATTTGATACTGATCTTTTAGTATATGTGAATGATGATGATTGTTTAAATGAATATAATTCTAGTGGGTGCAAACAACGTAGTTATGAAAAAAAGATAAAGGATTCAATAAAATTTTCAATAGATGATTATGAAGTATTTCAAATCATGAAGTAAGAATCTTGATAATATGTATTGATGGAGTTGGATGAAATAAATCGTGTGTGTATATTACTATAAATTGGAATTGGTTTTCTTTTACGATGTTTTAATAAAATAAAATTCATAAGTTGGATAAGGGCAATGACATATATTAGCTAATATTTTAGGGGGTGGGGGAGTAAAAGAATATCTTAGGTTACACATAATATAAACTATGTGAAATGATTGGATTGGTCATAAAATCTTACCTGGGGGTGGGGGAGTAAACGTTACTATTAAAATAATATTAGCTAATATATGTCACTGCCCTAACTAGGTCTTTAAGTAATAATCTGTCAAATTCGGCCGCATTGAAGATTTTGCCAGAATTAAAAAAATATCTTAATTTTGGCGATCACAAGATTGTACGACAACCAAACTTTTCAATTTTTTTTTTTTTTTTCGAGTCGAGCGAAATATCTATACTGTACTTCTACTTTCGCGACTGAAATGAATAACCTCTGTCTCTATTTTTTGAAAAAAGGTTTGAAAAATGGTGAATACCAGGTGGGATTTGTAATATTACTAAAAGGCAATGTTTGCTCTCCTCTTACCACAAATGTTGATAAAAATAATGACTCAAAAAGTGAAGCTACGAAAGTTATTCGAACCGCAAATCCATGAACGATGGCAAAGCATATATGGCGGATATTTTGTTCAAGATGAAAAATTCTGATTTTTAGTTTTAAATAATTTAGGAGCTATGCATAATGAATAATACAATTCAACAATGCCTTCATCATCAAAAATGAGATTGATAGTGATATCATTTTGTTGAACTCCATATTGTTGAAAGGCGTTACGTAAACAAAGTTTAGTTTGAACACGAGTATATGAAATAATTAGAATTAATTACGCAGTTAAGGTATGAAGATTATTTTAGCGAATTTCATTTCGTTTTCAATTTTATGGTTTTGAGACTTAGTATTAATGAATTTACAGGTCTTATTAGGAAGTCGGAACCTTATACGCGTTACAGAGGATAATGTAAAGAATAAATTGGTTAAAGGCTTCACTCAGAATAGTTCATACGAAACGAACGAGGGTGGATTTACCATTATGGTATCGGTTACATATGCTATAAAAAATCTTTTATTTCTTATACCATTAAATAAGAAGAAATAATAAGATCTTGAAAAGAAAACCTTGGAAAAAGGCTCTTAGGAACGTCAAGTTTTATTAAAGGTGTGAAAAGAGTTTAGAAATAATGATTGGTTAAAGATAGAGCGCGTCGAGATAGATCCCTGAGAGTAAGAGGGTTAGTTCTTCTTTTTATTAAATTATTATTCTTATTATTCAATGGTTCTTCTTTTTATTAAGCTCTTCTTGTCGAGTCTGGAAAGGTCTCAGTTCTGGACAGAACATTTCAATAACAATGAAAGTGATGTTCCTTTATCCCCTTTCGGGTCTTTATAGACCTGACAAAAGCCATTTAATAAAAATTGAGCGCATATAATCTACAGTCATTACTCATTAGCGTCATTAGCGTCATTAGCGTCATTATAAACTACCCAAGAACACCACCAAAAAATTTTTTCGGTAACGTGACTTTGTACTACTAATCTAAAAATAGTAGATATATCTATGAAAAGTAATATTTTTCACAGTTCTTACTTCTCGCCCCAACTGTTTTGTATTTGCTTGTGTTTTTCCCTTGAAATATATATTATTCTTTTTTATTATAGTCTACTTTATTCTATTTCTTAATCTTATTGTATTTTATTTTGTTGTAAAAATAAAAATGCATTTTTTTTATTAAATACAAAATTTATTTACAACCTTGGGCTCTAAAGGTAAAATATCAAGTTTTGAATAATAATAAGACTTTCCATTTAATACATTATAAAAATTATCTTTTTATTACTATTATTAAATTATATACAGTAAATAACACGAAGATTTATCGTTAAACTTCTAAAATAATAAATAATTTATTCACTTATTTTAATTAAAAAAGACCAACAAAAAAATACTTGTAGATTTTATAAAAAAAAAAATTTAAAGAAACGTTTAATTTAAACATTTCTTATCAGTTATAGTCCTTTTCACTTTATAAAATTTAAAGATAAATGTTCCCTCACTTTATTTTTTTTCTTGAAAAAAGCCGCGAAAATTTTTCTAAGATAATGTTGTACAAAATAAATCTGTCCAATAAAACTCATCCAGTCACGTTACCGAAATTTCTTGGTGGTGTTCTTGGAGTAGTTGTCATTATATGGACAACATTTGACAATATATTTTATATATATATTGTAAATTATTGATAAGCTATGAACCCATGTAATCTATTTAATACATTTAATATCACTTTTAAAGCGATTTATTTGAAAATGAGATCAAATAAAACGAATTCAATACTTCTTTACAGTTGTATAATCCTAAATTAAAAAATGTAATACTCCACTTAAATTAAATTTGAATAAAGCTAATATATTGCTCACTGACAATTACTTCACCGTTAATATTTTCACCAACAAACGTTTCACATTTTTACATATATCTTTATATGAAATATGGAATTTTTTTTGTTAGTAACACGTTGTTATATTTAATAAAATACAAAATAACTACTACTATAGATTTCCTTAGGGGAATAGCACATACTTTTCACAATATTTTATTTTTTAATAAATGTATTAATGTTTTGTTGTGATGACCAATAACTAAAAAGTTTATATATATATATATATTTGTTAGTAACTCTCATCATGGCGGATTTATGAAGTACCCCAGTCATGTCAAATTAAATACAGTATTTTAGTCACCAAATTTCTATTTAAGTCCCAAATTTATTAGTGAACGGTCAAAAATGAGCTCTAAAAAATTTTTTTGTACCCCAAATATTGCGTCCAACCAATTTTTTCTCAGTGTTAAAGGCGCGTCATTATTTGACATTTTTTTAGGAAAAAAGCTTAATGTTTCCGTAAGTCAATTTAATTCCCGAGGGCGCAGCAGGGTTTTTGCCAAATTTCATAAATCCGCAAAAAAAAAAATAAAAAAAAATATAATAGATATAACTACATGTTATTCTATCTACTAACCCGTCTAAAATGGAAGTAAGTATCAATACTTCAGTTATTAGATATAAACTAAATATCCAAAAAAGTTTTTATAATAAAATATCTCATATTCAATATTTATTTTTTATGTTGGTGACACGGTGAAGTGATTGTCGGTGAAATGAACCAGACCCGTTGCCAGCAACAAAGTACGCATAATAAAGTAATAACAAACAAATTATTCTTCATGATAGAATCACAGATTTATAACAAGTAATTGGTGTTGTTTTGAAATTTATATATATATATATACTTTTCTAGGGATAGGAAATGAATTTTTTGGAACTTTTGAAAAGAAGACGAACTTTATATGTATATATATATTTATATATTTTTATAAGGATAGGAAATGAATTTTTTTTTTGGAACTTTGGAAAGAAGTGGACCATATTTATAAGACTAACCACGGTAGAATTCGTAATAAGACAATAATTGTGTTTATTAAGTGTAAATAACAATATTAAACTTATGATAATAGGAGGTTAACGTCTATAATAGAAACGTGTAATATAAACGCATTTTTTAGATTTTGCTGATCCTGGCCGAGTTTTAACATTTGCCGAATGCCGGTGAATTTTTAAACTCTTCAATAGCAGATCGTAATGAAACGTTTCTTATACAACGTGGGACAAAAAAAAATTGATTCTTTGATCCAATTTTCAGGTCTCAATGAGAAAAATTTAAATTAGTTATTAAGAAATCTTGAATAATAATAAATGATCATAGATCATTAGTACACTTCTATTACAAGTTATTTACCAATCACTGTTTATTGATTTGATATATTATTATTTAAAGAAAATTTGAATGAATTTAATTGTATCAAATATTTGTAACGTATATACCTTCGTTTATAAGATTCATTATTGTCATTTATTATCTTTTTAAAATTCCCAAATACAAATACATTATACTCAAAATTAATTATTGACTTATTGACACAAAATTGTAGTAAAAGGAGAATCATAAATTGTAATAAAAATCAAACTGGGAGATTTCTCACAATTATTATGAAAAACTGGTAATGAGATTTATTATTATAGAAGTGGATCAGATCAACAAAATGTATGATTCTTAAAAGTAAATACATTTTTCGAAATTAAACTTACGACAAATTGTCTCATTATGAAGAATATTTAAAAGGGGGCTAAGTTCTTTTTCTAGAATGGTACTTTATGAAAATAACGATGATATTTATGATAATCCAGCAACCGAAGCGGTTATCAATTTTCGTTGGCAAAAAGCAAGAAATTTCTTTTTTTTTACTTTTCATTCGATTTCTTGTCTATGCTGCTTGTTTCGTATTAGTTAGTTGGGCATATTTGAATCATAGCATTATTATAAATGAAAGATTTTTATTTGCATTAATGGTTATATTCTATTATTTGGCAACTTATCAACTTATCACTGAAGCGTTACAACTCCAATATCGTGGATTTAAAAAATATTTTGGGGAAATATTTAACATTGTTGATATGGTTTCTATTATGCTTTCTGTTTCGGTAATGTCAATGATGCTTAGGAATTTTAATTTTCCTGATGGTTTTGGGAGTGTTGAAGAAATTGATATGAGAACAACAGTGGGAATATCATTCTCAATTTTCTTACTTTGGATTGAATTAGTAAGTTTTTTTCAAGCTTGCAATTATTATAACTACCTATGTTAATACAATTAATTGATTATAATTATAGATTTTCTATCTCCGCCCAATACCAGGTAAAAATACGTGAATTTTTTTTTTTTAAAAAAAAAAAACTACTATCGCCCAACGTTACAATATTAATAATTTGCTTTTCCTCTCGATAGGCATTGGAAATTATATTTATTATGTTATAATTATTTTCAAAACCATATTTCCGTTCTTTTTGTTTATGTTAATTGTGATGATTGCGTTTGCACATACAATGTACGAAAACTTTTTTTTTAATCTATTCGTTTCGTTTTAAATATTTTAAATTCAATTTAATTAATCTTCCTTATTCTATATAATTTATAGGTTTGTGTTACTTAGAAATCCTGTGCAAATTAAAACCAAAGATTCCACGTTCAGTGGAACTGCTACAAATTCTTTAACAAATGAGACGCTTAATGTTGAATTTAAATCCGATTTTGATCCTACTTCTGGTGATAATCCATTCACATCATTTTCTCAAGCAATAGTAGCTACATATTTTTGGCTTAGTGGTGATATGGTTCAAAGGGACGAATTTGATAATTGGGTTGTTGATGCATTTACTTTGATTGCAAGTATTGTTCTTGTAGTTGTCTTACAGAACATGCTGATCGCTTTTATGAGGTAAGGTTTTTTTCGTCAAATTATAGTCGCTCATTTATTTTATAATCTCTTTTATTTATACATTCGTTTGTTTTAGTGGTGTGTACGAAAATGCAGAAACTAAAGGTAGACAAACTCTATTACGACATCAAGCAAATCACATAGCGGATTATGAAGCGTTACATCACATTCATTTTTGGGGACATGAACGTGATCCTAAATATATTTATTATTTTGGTCATTCTAAGAATTTCGAAGATTGGTAAGAAACAAGAAAAGATCAAGGTGCTATTCATGAAGAACTTGAAGCAAAATCAACATTTATGAAACAAATATATAAGAAAAAATGTTTTGATGAACGTTCAATTATGAAATATAATGATTGTTTTAAATCAGAAATTAAAGAAATTTCAATTATAAAAAATGAATTGAATGATAAAATTGAACGTTTGAATAAAAAAATTCATGATCCAAAAAAGGGGACCGATGATGAGATTAAAAATGAAATTAAAGAATTTGATAATATTATTATTAAGAAACTTGAAAATTAATGAAAGTGAAAGACCCCTTTTCAACTAATGTACATAATTTCATGTATCAAAAAAAAAAAAAAAAAAATTTATTTATTTATTTATCTATTATTTCTTGTATTTATTTGTATTTATTTATTTATTTTTATATTTATTTATCTAGTATTTCTTGTATTATTTGTATTTATTTTATTTTTTAAATAAAGTTTAGTTTGTTATTTATTTATTTATTCAATTTTGAAAAAGAAAAAAGAAAATATTAATAGTGTATTAACTATTAAAGAAACTTATTTTTGCAAAAGTCGCACGAACATTTGATGATGTCTTACGCTAGGTTGTTTAACAAAAAAAAAATATCATGAGATCAGGATTTATTACCAGAGTGCAAAAATCTATTCAAATTTTTGCCGGACTTTATCGAAACTTTTTGAGAAAATTTTTCATTGTAAACCCAAATTTTCGGACGTGGCGTAGCAAATTTCCGGCAAAGTTTTATAAAAATATCGGAAATTTATTAATAAATGAGAATATTAATTTTTCAATAATAATTCATTATTCCATTTTAATAATAAATATAATCTTTTAATATCATTGCATCTCTTATCATTATTACAAATAGTATGTATATGCACGATTGATATCGAATATCAGTAAAGAAAATTAGACCAAAAAAAAAAAAATTTGGCGAAATGTTAAAAATATATTGATTTCGGTCACATGTTTTGATGACCTTCCGGAATTTTTAGATCTTTATGGCCTTACCTTTTACTATACTTAACGAATTATTTAATTCTAAACAACTAATTTGACTACATTGTTTTTTTTTTTAATTAATTGTTTGAGTTACTAGGATTGCGTTGAAATTTGATTAAATGTTAATGTTATCCGTCAACCCGTCACTATGTTGTACTACAATTGTGAACAATTTACTACGCAAATCTCTAACCCCTAAGACGAATCAAAACGAATTTTTTTAACTCTAAAGAAAAATCGACCATAACTTTACCGAACCGGAAGAAGCATATATTTTTGACTAAAAAAAAGTAGCTAAAAATTATACCTTCAATATGATATACGTCATATTGCATTTAATATCATAATTTATTTTTTTATTTTTAAATCACAAATAAAGCGAACCGAGCTGTAGTAAAAAATTACAAAGACTCTATACACTAAAGTCTAAAGTAATTAAAACAACTAATAACCAAAACACGACTGACCCTTACGTGTTGCCACCTTGGTTGGAAAAAATGAAAACGCACAGGATCGGGGTAAACCTTCTCCTGGACGTGCGTATAATTGAACCGTATAATTGATGTATAGTGTCTGTAATTTATAATCACGTGATCTTATTCTAACTCGCCGGTGCAAGGTAATAATGTTATTCGGACACTGTAGTAACGATATAACGGAATAATTGAACAATGTATGGGACTTTTTTTCGATTTAATAATTCATAATTAATTTAAAAGTACTTACTGCTAGTTATAACTAATGGGTTACGGTACATTTCGCCGAAATCTATTTCACCGAAACCATTTAGCCGAAGCCATTTCACCGAAGGGATATTTCACCGAAGGGACGTTTCGCCAAAAGTGCTTTTATCGAATTCATTTCGCCGAATAGTCCATTTCGCCGAATTACATTTCGCCATATGGACATTTCGCTGAAAATGGTAGCGGTTAACATTTTAATAAAACTATTCATCGCGCAATGAATATAAAAATTAAATTACTTTTAGAGATTTTTTTTTCCCAGGATATCATCACTTTAAAAATTAAAATTCAAGTAACTGATATTAATTGTTAAGAAATAAATAATTTACTTTATTTTCCTGAAAACATTTATTCACGAAAAAGTAAGTAAATAAAGACTATTAATATATTATAAACAACGATAAAAATCAGCTAATTCAAAAATTTTTCTAGAAAACATTTCTTTATATATTTAGTATAAAAATAATAAAATAACCAATAATTTTTTGGCGAAATGTCCATGAAGCCAACAACGTTACGATATTACTGCGTTATTATTGTTATTATTTCATGTTTTCCCTTGTGATAAACCATGTGATTGGATGATCTACAATCACGTTAAGTGGTCGGTTTATTAATTTTATTGTGCCAACCAGTTCTGAATTCGAGTTAGTGAATCAAAGAACTCTTTAGACATAATTCTCACAATTGCCAATTAAAAAGAAATTAGAAATATTTAGTTTATTTTCAAAACAACACATGTATTCTTTTTCTGGACTTGTAAAAATAATAATAATTCATTTTTTTCGTATGATTGTAGATCGTCCAATCACATGGTTTATTACAAATAAAACATGACATGATGATGATGCGGCAATAGTAATTTATAATCCTATTTTTTAAAAAACTGGTGAGATCGTTCCACGACACTAAAAAGGAGGAATTTTATTTTTTTGGGATGTTAGGATGTTAAGGAGGGTATATGTAGTGGTATAGCGGGTGTGGAGGAGCTTGTCTGAGGAGGGTACTAAGATACAGGTTAACTCTAGGTTATTTTAAAAATTTAGGCAGGTGGTGGTGCTACTTGGGAGTTTACAGGCGTTTCCTCTCATAGTTTATACTCTAACCATATACTTCTAAAAAAAATTAATTACGAATTATTTATTTATCAATATATACAGATCATGATTACGTTATATTCTAAAAATATACACAATCAAAATTGCGTGAATAATTTAAGCCACATATAAAGTAACTATAAATAGATTAGTACTAATGAAATTGCACCATTTTTTATCACATATGGCGGATTTGGCTCATTTGATGATCGGAATGTCGATCATTTTGACGTTAGTTTTACCGCCCATATGATCTTAAAAAAAGACCTATAATTATTTAATAATGTATTTTTTTTATTATTGTTTAGTTATATTGTAATAAAATCGTAATTTTTTTCATAAATTGTAATTTTTTATAATTATTTAGTGATTCATAAATTTTTTTTAAAAAGACTCATTTAAATGAGAATACTGCAAATATCACAATTATGTATATACCTGACGAAAGTATCAATAATGATATCTTATAATAATATATAGGTATAATAAAATAAAAAAAAATATTTTTGTACATATTTACATTTTGAAGGTAAAAGGAAACTAATTTTTAAAATAGGATACGATAAAAAAAAAAAGCTTACATAATAAATCATAATAAATAAACGGTAAAAAATAAAATTAAAAAAAATTAAATTTTCGACGAGATTTTGCCGATTATTAAAATGCCAACGAATAATATTTCCGATACTTAAAAGACAGATATTTTTGCAATATTGAGTTGTTATGTAAGTTCTAAAAGGATTTTTGACAATTCTTCTTCTAACTCACAAGGAATATTGTTTGGAGTAAATTTTACATTGAAGATAGAAAATTGATTGACCTTATTTTGTTTTACGGGATTTTCATGAAAATTGTCAATAACCTCTTCTATCTTATCAAGGTTGTTCGTTTCCTTTGGACAAAGTTTTTGAGGTCTTCTCCTAGTTATTAATGGAGTTCCTTGTTCTGATGACATTATGAAACGATTATTATATTAAAGCTTATTGTGTTGAAAAATCGGAAAGTATATATGAATTTGAGAATGTTAACATGGTATTTATATAAATTTATTGTAGACTACGCTATAAATCAGCCATGAGCTTATTTATCGTTATAATTGGCTTTGTTTTCGTATGAAGAATTAATTTGTAATGACATATGTAATTATCATATATATCATTAATAAAGCTATTCAATAGCGCCGATTATTCAATTATTACGTCCTCTACGACTAATTTTTAAAATGAACTTAATCATCGGGGTAGAGATTTATGGTCAATTTAAAGTTAGTCTTAGCCGATGAATCATGATGAATCATTGATATCTGGTGATCCAAATGATAAAATTGCAAATTTCTAAATTTCTATTTGACATATTTCCGAAACTTGAACTTCTTTATATACTGTCATTTATAATCCTCATTAATACATTGTCCATTCATGATCATCGATTGTGGCGGTGGTACGATAGATTTTATCAGGAAATATTACTAAGAATAAATTAAGTATAGAAATTATGCCGGGAAGTCGGGAACCCACAACGTTATTTAAAAATAATGAGAGAATGCTGTGTTCACAAAAACATAAACGCTTTCCATTATAGGCTGCACTGTCTACAAAATTCTTTCCTTTATTCTCTTTCCAATTTCAATTTAATGATAACACAGATAAAACCTAGTTATGAATACCGGCCTTTTATTGAATACACAAAACTTTACTATGGTTGTCGGCAGATAACGCTATAATTAACTAAAACGTTCAAATCTCGAATAGGACCGCCGATGCAGGTCCTCATACTGATCTTTATTTAAATTTCAATATAAAGTTGTGTAACTATTTAACTGATTTATCCCGTACCATAAAGCCCTTTAATATACTTATTTTGACTAATTTTTAAAATAAACACGCAGCTAGTACTTTCAATATTCTGAGCAAATTGGGAATTATGGTTAGGTGAAATCTATTTCATTTCAAGATATGATTGGTGTTTTAAATAGAAATGATCTAGAAAATTTATAAATAGTAATTTGTTTGTTTTTGTCAAATTTGCTTTATCTTAAAAATAGTAAGTAAGATACTGTAGAAACCCACAACGTTACGATATTACTGCGTTATTATTTCAATTTTTTTTTACAAATGTGTTGTGATTATATGACTTTGATTATGCTACATAATTCAATCGAAGTAAAGTACTCATTTGAAAAATGAGAGTTAAATGACAAACTATAACAATACATGTTCTTTAATATTTCATTTGTCGGACTTGTAATCAAAAATTTTATTTTAAATTTCATTTTTCTTATTTTTCTCAAGTTTAACGTAGATCGTCCAATGGGATACGAATAACAGCCGCCTGAATAAAATAATTTTTTTTACGTATAGATAGATTTGTAATAACATATGTTTCTAAAAAGATAATTTATAATCCTATTATACGAAAAAAAACCTTAACTTTAATTTAACTTTACGTGTTAAACATTCAACAAAAGCGTGGTATTACAAAATAAAATTTTCTTATAATAAATAAATTATAATACTAGGAAACGGGAACCGTTGTGAGTCCGAAGCAAAATATCATAATTGTCCGGAGCGAAGCGAAGAACAATATACAGTGCCCAGAAAAAAGTCACAGACCAGCAGTAAATTACGATAATCGTTATAAAAATATACTTCTATATAAAGTTTTTTTTTTAATAATTAACATATCTTTTATGTAATAAGTAATGTTGATCATCGAATTGAATTGCGCTTACTCTAAAAATTTTATGAACTTCTGAAAAAAATTGATTGCTATATTTTACAAGTTATTAAATAAATCAGATTTTCAATGAAAAATGTATAGGTATAATATAACATTAAAAAATTTTGTTTTACCATGCTTCATTTTTTAAATAAAATTATTTATCGAAACTTTTGGCATATTTTTACAAAATTTCATTAAAATCAATGAGGTGATCAACAAGTTATATTCATTTTACTGTAATTTGCCGATCATTTGTCGATCATCATCAAATTAATTACCGAAATTAAACATTACTGACACATTAAATTCGGCCCAATTTTTTTTCATGAAAACTTAGGATTTTGATTATTATTTCTAGTTTTTTTTATTGTAATGAGAATTCAAAATCAATAATTTGTTCTTTAATTAAAATTTTATAAATAATAAATAGATACCGATCATCTTTGTTAAATATGTGTAACTTACAAACTGTTTCGTCTATTTTAATGATATTTTGCAGTAATATGTTACGAACTTTGATAAATAATTTTATTTAAAAATGAAACATAATAAAACAAAATTTTTTAATGTTGTATTATACCTAAATACTTTCCATTAAAAATCTGATTTATTCAATAACCCATAAAATATATCAATCAATTTTATTCAGAAGTTCATGAAATTTTCGGAGTAAATGCAATTCAATTTGATGATCAACTTTACTTATTACACAAAAGATATGTTAATTATTAAAAAAAAAACTTTATATAGAAGTATATTTTCATAACGATTATCGTAATTTACTGCTGGTCTGTGACTTTTTTGTATGTCTACGCACTATGAAAAAAAATCGATCATGTGAATTTCTCTGTCCATCACGTGATCATCCAATGAAATCACATCTTACCCAGTATCACCGACACTTTTTCCACCCCCACGTGATTTTGTAATATTCATCACCGGCATCACACCCCACCGCGTTTTCACTGTTTATATTTATCTCCCGTTTCCTAGTAAATAAAGATGTTAACATATATCAAGAATTGTAGCGATTTCTACTAATTAGCAGCATAACGCCTCAGAATTCCAGTAATTTTCTGCTGATTAGTAGCATAACGCCTGGACAGAGAAACTCATGTGATCGCAACTTTCTAGTACTGATTAGCAGCATAACGCCTTGGAATTCTGGGACACGTGATCGATCATTTGTTCATAGTGCTAGACATATATAGTCCTTCGCATTCGTTCCGGACAATTATAATTTATAAATAATTAATTAATGATATTAACTAGTTACGCCATTTTTTTAACGTCCCGTTAGTAGCGTCAAATTATCGTATGACGCCATAAATGACTTTTGCCATATGGATTTTTTTAGACTTTTAGACTTTATATAAACTTTTAACGTAATTACTTTTCAATTTTTTAGACTTAATATAATAAACTTTTGATGTAACTAATTTTAAACTTAATATACTTAATATAAACTTTTTTTATTTTTTATTTTTTTTTATTTGACAACTGCTTTTAAGTTTTGAAATTTAACATATCGCCATATAATTTTATATGGAGAAATGGATTGCGTGAAGAACTAAATATACCTAATACTAATAAAGAAATTAATAGTAATATGGAATTAAATGCTAGATTAGAGTAAATTGTTTACATGCTATCATTATGAATTTATATTTTTCGTTTAAATATTAGTAATAGTAAAATTGTATATAGAAAAATGTTAAATAATGCTGTTAATTAAAAGAAGCAGTAATTGTTATTATTTATTATTTTTAATTATACTGTATATAAACAATAAAAAATATGCTAATTTATTTAATATTTTTATTTGTTTTAATTATTTAATTATTTTTTTAATTACGTCAAACGTCAAAACTGTATGACATGACCACTAATGATAACGTGATAAAAACCGTACAATTCTTGTAATACATGTCGTCAACTTAGTTAATCGGAGTAAATCTCGGAGAGACAAATATGTTATGTTTCTTATCTATAACAAAAAGTAAAGAATGTATATCCTCTTCTGATTAGATTCGTGGACAGAATTACAATTTCATTTTATCGGGAAAACCATATAATTTTTCCCTACTGAATTACCGCTTAGAAGTATCGACTATTATTATAAGTCTGAAGCGAAAAAATTATTATTTGTCAGTACATAAATCTTTTGAGCTGAAATTTAAATTTTTTTTTCAACCAGAAACTCTACGCAATCATCAATTTTCACTCTCATCCTAAAAGTATAATGTCCGCTCTTGGAATTACGTATTAAGAATAATCACAATTATTCCTAATTATTCCTGCATATCACTTATTGATCTTTCGAAATTTACGATTCCAAGAGTTTCACTCTCTTAGCGAGACGATGATTTAGCAAATAAATATTAAATATGATAAGAACCATACATTATGAAATTAATGTTATTGAGTCAATTTTTAGCACAATCATGTGAATTCGAAACCATGCAGTCCAGTGATTCGCTTAAAACTTCTGGATCTATTGTACATTTTTTTTTTATTAATTTAATGAAATAATAATTATTTGTAGTAAGCTAATGCAAAATGTATTCATAGATACAGTATACATTGCTAGGAACCTCTTGTTTGACGCAAGCCTTCTGTATCCCCTATTACGCGAATTTTTGCTATTAATAGAGGGTGTTTAAAACTTATAAAATAATTAGGTATTGTTACACATCACATCTAAGATATTTGTTGGATTATTTAAATAATAAAATCAATGGAGAATATGACTTCTTTTTTGAGGGGTACTATACATGGGAGGGGTACTATGACCCGCAATATACGGTACTTGCATAAGCTATTTTTAAAATTTTTGTTATGAAATTCTAAATATTTTATTGCCCATCCTTATAAAAAAAATATTTATTTAAAATCCAATTGTAAAAATTAATAATAATTATCAATTCTCTACCTCACATGACGACTGCTCAAAAAGATCTACAAAGAAATTGCCAGTTACCCAGACGAACTCCCTGACTGCCGGACCTTCTAATACTAAAATTTGACCTCGTAACGAGTCTCAACCTTGTTTGATAACAAACAATTAAAAATAGTGTGAACAACTCCACCTCTTACAGTATTTACAGGTGGCGGCCTTGTGCCGAAAGAAAAATACGGTTAATTTACACAACCATCATATCTATATGATACTATAAATATCATTATAAGGGCTTGAACCCTTTATTCTCTATTTTTCTTTTGTAGAGCTCCCAGGTTTCTCTCTTTTTTTCTTTTAATTTAATTAACTAGTGTAGTCCTACTTTCTCAAATAGTTCCGAAGGGTGTGGTCCTATCTTGATGGGATGAGTTTAATTAAATACTTCGGTGCTAAATACATGTTATTTATAATAGATTTTAATTACCACTCTTTTGAAATAAAATAAAATAAAATAAATAAATAGCCTATCATCGGACTGAGTTAGCTGTAGGGATGTGGACTACTATATCATATCAGTTCGGTTTCGGTTCCACGAACTGGAGCGAGTTTGACAGAACCGAATTGACTATTGGTGAGTACTGGTCGAACATTCATAATCTGCACAAAATTTCCCTTTTTTGGAAATTTATGTAACACAACGTGATCCGGTTTGTTCGACTTCCCTCATGGAGCCGTTCGTTTTGCTGAAAAGTGGCTCCAACCCCGACTTGAGTCACTCCATTTGGAACTTGAATACAGTTAGCTGCGCGGAGTCCTGCTGTGATGTTGATCAATCGGACTGTTGCATTCATTTAAGCGATAAATGCGTCAAATTTTGCAATCTCATCTTTTGAGTCAGCTGGGTAGTCTTTAAAATTTTAATATTATGAGAAATAATTACTTCTGTGGTATCAGGTTATATATATTACGGACGAATAAAATCAGGTACTTCATATGAATCCGCCAGATCCATGTTAGGGGGAAGAGGGTAAATGTTTTTGAATGCGTAAGGATTCGCAGAGATCGGTAAGAACAAAGGATCTGATGATATCACTTTGTCCGTAGGGTTACTAGTAGAACCCGAATCCATTAAGGAATGGTTGTGTGATGTTGATGCTTTCGAAGGATTGGTCGGGGAGCAGACTTTCGCCTTGATGGTCAACTTTAAAGAAAAAAAAGGAACTTTGAAATTATAATCCTGTTTTTTAATGGATTTAGTTTGTTGCGTGTAACGTAAATGTTGAATAGATTTATCAATCAACTGCAATTGAAGAAATAGAAAACGATGACGTTTTCCTGTGAGAAGTTGTTGTTTTAAAGTACGCGCTGGTTTATTGTTGTCCATAGTAAATATGCGTCTGCATTTTCGTTTGAAACGTGCTTCCTGTTTGTTCTTTATTGAAGATTTAATTGATCGTTCGAATTGGAAATGGGCTAAACGCTTTTTGTACATTTAACGTTTGCCGTCTTTGAAGATGTAACAATGGCCATTAGCAAGATATTTAACGGTATATTGTTAAGCCAGTTCTTGTATGCTTATAAAAATAAGCGTATGGGTGTATGGTAAGCAGAAGGATAATTGAATAAAATAAGTGTATAATATTAATGAACGAAAAGTGAAAATAACTATATGTAAATATTAATAAATATATCACTGTCGATCAATTTACGAAGGTTACACAATAAAATAAAATGTAAAATTCAGTCAAATGCGAATACGGTATTGCACACACGGGCATATACACTCAGACGCAATATTGACTCACAAAATATAACAATTATGAAAAATAAACAATTAGATAATTTATTTAATAAATGCTTTATTAAAATATAACAGAATTATCTATCTTTAATACATAGAAAAATAATGCATCTATTTATATGTAAAAACACTAAGCTAAAAATGTTTAAAATGTTTAATATATGCCATATATACCATATGTGCAATATGTGCAATATATGCCATATATTTAATATATTTGATATATTAAACATTTCGAACATTGATCCTCCCGTTATATGACGTTGATCATTCAACAATAATTAATCATCCCGGAAATTACCATTGATCAACGATTATATCACGTGACTTCGTCGCATTGTTTTTCATCGTAACAATATTTGATTCCTAGTCATCTAGAATGAATATCTTTAACTAGACGGGAACTCCAATTTTTGTAGAGGGTGGTGACGTGATCTTGTTTGGTGTTAGCTTTATATTGTTCGGAGGATTGTGATTAATGAGTATTCTAATGAATTCTTTTTTATGTGCGCCACAAGCACATCGGTTGTTAGAATGACGAAAGGTGATGGGGTTCCGCATCTTACCCAAGCGCCCGGATCTTTTCTATCTGGTTTAAAATTATACAAGGAACGTTTATTAAATATCTTTACTGCGCCATAATATGTAAAAAAAAAAAATTTTTTTTTGAAAGGAGGTTTTTCTTTTTCCGATGCGATCAAAGTTTAAATTTGATCGGTATCAAAATTCACATGACTGCAGATCATCGGACCGGACTCATAAAGATGCTCGTAATTTGTTTCGAGTGGGTGGTTGACCGATTATCGTAAAATGTTTACATTCTGTAAAACCAGATGATTATTAAATAATGGTGGGAAGGGTGCGTGTGAGATGATGAACAGGTTAACATGTCTAGGTTATGTGCTACATGGGAGCCTACACTATTCAACGTTTTTAACTTTCAAGATGTTTTTTCTCGTAGTTGCCCTAAATATGTACTTCTAAAAAAATAAAAATTAATTCGTAATCCATGTAACAATCGGTGAAAACTTAAGGGCAAATAAAAAAAATTGGCTTTGCGATTATCTCGAGATCCCGTGATTCAATTTCGATTAACATTATTTTGATCGCTGAAATTAGGCCAATGGATCGTGAGATAATCATTAAAATGATTTTTTTTCAGAACATATCGGATTCAAAATATGGAATCCAGTCATCTTCCGAAAAAAATCGGTTTGCGATTATCTTGTGGTCCAGTGATCCAATCTCGATTAGTGTAACTCTCTACGGGATAATCTTACCACACCACCTCGCGTGTTACGAATATTAATAGTGTTGGTTACACTGCATAAATGGTGTGACATTTTATGCAAGTGACAAATAGAGATCAGACCAGTCGCTGATACAAATATAAACAACGCGTCCACCGCCATCACGTGACCAAATGACAAAATCATCACCTGTACTACGCGAGGTGGTGTGTTAAGATTTACCCTTCAGGACTTAATTAATTTATAATTCGTGATTCGTGTAACAATCGGTGAAAATCAAATTAAAAAAATCGGTTTTGCGATTATCTCGGCGATCTTTTTATTTTATAATATACGGGACACCGGACACCCATCATTTTTACTCCATGCCGAGAGAAACTCGGTAAGATTCGGTATAAATCAGAATAAAATAAAAACTACACACTCCAACAATATGGTTTTACTTTATTCCGAACTTTACCGAGTTTTACCGAATGTACCGAGTTGCCTCTCGATAACTATTGTCCCGTATATTATGAAATATCAATTTAATTCGGGTTTTCTTTCGATTAATAACGAAAGTTCGATGACAAATAAATAAAAATAAATAAATTTGAAATGAAAAGATCTATAATACTAGCGATAAATTGTTAATTACATGACTCAAAACTAGAAAAGGTTTGAAGTTATTTGCGAATAGAAAGCTAATTTTTTAAAAAGCAGTTTAAATAGAATACAATAAAAAAGTTTACATAATGAATAAAACGAAGTAAAAGTAATTAAAAAAATTTAAATGTTCGTCAATTATTAATTTGTAAAGGTTATTCGAATGCCAATGAGATAGTAATAATATTTCGAGTAGGCCGCCACTACTGTTCCACTGTTATATTTCACTACGAATCATTTAATTTACATATCCAAAGCTTCAAAGTTTTAAACATATCATTTTTTACGCGATACTTTGAAGACGGATACTTTTGCAATATTGAGTTGTAATTACTAATTATATAAGTTTTCTGAAAGAATTTTTGATAAATCGTCTTCTAATTTGCTAGAGACATTGTTTAAAGTAAATTTTGCATTGAAAATAGAAAATTGATTAACCTTATTCTGTTTTATGGGGTTTTCATGAAAATTGTCAATAACCTCTTTTATTTTATTGCAGTCGTTCGTTTCCTTACAGCCTGGGGGAAGGTTTTGAGGTTTTTTTTGAACGTGTGGAGTTCTTTGTTCGTAATTATTTTTTGATGACACTTCTTCTACTTTATTGCAGTCGTTCGTTTCCTTACAGTCTGGGCGAAGGGTTTGAGGTTTTTTTTGAACATGTGGAGTTCTTTGTTTGTAATTATTTTTTGATGACACCTCTTTTACTTTATTGTAGTCGTTCATTTCCTTACAGTCTGGGCGAAGGTTTTGAGGTATTTTTTGAACGTGTAGAGTTCTTTGTTCGTAATTATTTTTTGATGACATTGTAAAAAGATTGTTATATTTAAAATTTTAATTAGAAAGGCGACACGTCTTATATAGATTATTAATTGATCGACATTAAAAATTGTACACGAACACAAGGAAGTTTACGCCTGTCGATTAAAAAATTAAAGTTACGGTTTTTTATTTTTGATTATTATTATCCGTTATCATTTCTTTATTAGGCTTATTATACGCCCATTCACATGGTACTACTTTATCATTGTGTACACAGGTTTCCAAAAAAGCGATTCTTTTTAATCTTGGTTCCGGCGGTACTCTTAGTGCATCTCCGTTCTTTTTCATTTTTACCACCAAGTTGACATCGCCTTGTAGCGGTTTGGTTATTAGCTATTGGAGTTACTTTCGATTTTAGTTATTAATTTCTTTGTAATTTGTACTTTTGTACTGTAACCTCGTTCACTTTGTGAAAAAATTAAATAGGTTTCAATTTGTTAAATAAGTCATTCAAAACCAAACTTTGACACTTTAAGTAAACTTCCAGAGTAGACCTAAATACACATACTATATGTTACTTTTAAAATTGATTTATATAATCATTTTGTAAAGCCACGTGATGCGAGTATGAACACCATTAAGATTTCGTGAACATATAATTTTATTGGTTTTATTATATATGGTGCAGTTGTGGCAGCTCTGTATAAGCCTTATTTTACTTGGAGTTGGCTTATAACTCTTAGTTTAAATTTCATAGTGACTTGAACCAACTTGAACTGGCTTGGCTCAACTGATCTGAACCGATTGCTTGTCCTTGAACTTTTAATTATTTATATTAATTTAACATTTAATGTAAATAAAATTCAGCTGGCTTAAGCTTCTCAAGTTAAGCTGAGCCAAGCTATATTTAAATTGGTAGCTTGCAAGCTGGTACAAAAAAACTTGAGCCTAGAAATGGACTTGGTTTAAGAATGATCTATTGAATAATCTATTAATATTGTTTAAGCCATGTAATTAACTGCTAATTTAGATAAGGCTTTTTCTAAATTTATTAATTTATAAATTCTTGTATAGGTCATGTTCTTCAAGATATATATAACTACTGTGCTATTATTGTTTCTGCTTTAGGACTTTCTATTTAACCTACTATTACTATATCTTCTAGATTTAACTCTTTACCTTTAGAAAGTTCAATTCCTATTACTCCATTTTCAATTTCATCTTTTATTTCTTTAAGACTAGAATTAATAGCCATGACTTTTAAATGACTACACTATTATTATTTAATAATAATTATGGTCCGGTGCGAAAAGATTTGTACCTCACCAAAAAAGGGATGGATTTACGCCAATAAAAATATCGTATGACTTAAATAAGGTGGGCTGATATTCAAGAATTTGTTAGAACATATCCAAACACACATTCTCTCAAAAATTTTTTTCCATACCATGTATTCTCATTTCCTGAAACGAAATGGTGCACCATTAACAGATAATGAAAAATCAATGATAATTAACATTCACAACTATCTTTTGGGGGATAGCTCTACAAGTAATGATCATCATAAGCTAACATTACGCAAGCATATTGCTGAGATATTGGGTGTAGCTGAGGGTACAGTTGGAAGTGTGGTGTCGGACTGGTACAACCGCAGTGATGATACTTTTACACCACATAAAGTCCTCAGAAGACCTAAATTTCAACCTGATGAAAATGTTTCAGAACTTTTGCGTACAAAAATTTTGGATGCCAACAAAAAGGCTGAGCAACTTTCCACAGTTATCCTACGACAGTATCTTCTAGAACAAGGATATAATTTTTCTAAATGGAAGCTTCTTCGAGTATTACATCGCTTGGGTTATTATTTTGGCCAGGGAGAACGTAGAAACATTCTCCATGAGTCACCAAATAATGTTGCATACCGTTGCCGTTATCTTCAATTTCGTTTTGCTAATTTAGAAGGAAAAAATGATGTTCCACGTCGTCCAGAAGTCTTTCTTGATGAGTCTTACTGTCATTTACATCATACTTCACGCAATACATGGGTTCCCCATCAAGGTGTTGTTTTAGCACCTGGACATGGTCCATTAGTAGTAATTTTTGGAGCAATTATTGTATTCCGAAATGGATCTTCCAACAAACTACATGGTGAACTTGTTCCCAACTCTGTTCACATTTGGGACCCAACAATTAAACCTCCTGGAAACCGGGGACGAAAAAGAAACAATGCTGATGAATGGGATAACATTCCCGATGTTGTCAAAGATGCAAATATTATGCCAAATCAAGTAGATTATCATGGAAATTTTAATGCAGAAATTTTTGAAGACCTTTTTTCAACTCTTTGTAAAGCACTTTATGAAAAATATGGACCTGTAAATATTCATATGGATGGAGCAAGTTATCATAAACGGCGGGTTGAAAATATTCCAACTTCAAATACAAAAAAGCAGGAAATAATTGATTGGCTAAATGCTCACAATATTGTTTTTTCTGATGAATTAAGAAGACCAGAACTTTTGGAGCTGGTTCAAATGAACAAAGAAAAGGTGACATTTGCTTGTGTTAAAATTGCAAAACAGTATGAACATGAAGTTTCATTTACCCCTCCATATCATTGTGAACTTCAGCCAATTGAAGGTATTTGGTCAGTTGTGAAGGGTGAAGTTGCACATTCAGGCCCACATCCAAACCTTTTATCTGTTCGAAATACACTTTTAAATGCTTTTAAAAAAAAATTACATCACAGGTAATCATTGGGTTCTGGAGAAGAGCACTTAAAAATGCTAAGGAATACTTAGAATTTGACGATAACGCACAATTAATGGATGAAGATTTTGACGAATATGATAATTCTGATGAAGATTGCGTTATTTAATCTAATATTCATATTTTGATTTTCCCAACATGTTATTGATATAATTAAATAAATAAAAAAAATTTACATAATAAAAAATTTTTTTTTCGGTCCTCTGTTTGAGGTACAAATCTTTTTGCACCGGACCATAGCAAATATTAATTCATTACATAATACTTATAAAGATATCATTAATTCATTTGCTAAGGTTATAATAGTATAGTATTATATATAATATTAAGGGATTGCAGTTATGACAACTTTTCATAACAAAACTTTCAAAAGGCAATTTTAATTTCCACAAAAATTGGGTTTTACGAGTTTTTAAAAAGGAAATTTTTGTAATGATCCATAATTTTAGCCAGCATTATAATCTAATTATAGCATTACAACTTCTTTTACAAATATTTTGGCCAAATCCCAGTCCCAATTCTAAATTTCAAATTCACAAATTACTATATTGTATTTTGGCAATATATATATATTGTATAATATTATGTATAGCATACAAATGCCTACTAAATACAGTAATGTTGCCACTATTTGTGATACTTGAATTCTTTTAAAATAAATTGAAATTAAGAAATATGTTTACTGATTGAGTATATTTAGTAGTGCAATTGGCTTTTTTAAAATAAATAAAACATAAAATTCTCCAAATATTTTTTCAAATTATATATATATATACCATATGATCAGTGAATATTCTTAATCAAATAAGAATTTCATTTTCCATAGTTTAACATTATTATGAATATAAGTACAAAGTACTATACTATTGCAACTAATATTATCTAAATTACCTGACTATATCATATGATTTTTATTGTCAATTCATTTATTTGATTTTTTTAAAATTTTCAAATTTTCATTTCTATATATACTGTATCCTAATACCTTTTATTTATCACCAACTTTAATTGTTAGTTTCTATATTCTAATGTCTTTTTCTTTATCATCAATTTTAATTGTTAATTTTCATCTATTTATATATTTTTCATGGTAATTTTGCAATTATTCTTAGCATTTTAAAATTTGCTGCTTTTTAAAAAGCTATTTTTTTTTAAAAAAAAATCTCTTTCATTTTTTTTTATATTGCAACCCAATTAGCCGTTTTTTACATGCACAAGTTACTTACCAACATTTTTTCAAAAATGCTGGAATTTCTATATTATATGAAATTTCACTTGTTTAGGCAATACGGTGGTCAGATTGCAAGACTACTAAAATTCAAATATAGCATTTTCAAAATTATTCAAAAATATTATCATTGCATTAATTTCCTTTTGTAATTACATCACCAATAATCTATTGTTAATTTTCCTATTTGTCCATCAGTTTGCCTTTTTACATTTATATTTACACTGGAATTTTCAAATTCAAACTTTTAAATTTTTTCTTTTTCCTTGCCATATAAGGATGCCAACTGCATTTGTAATCTACATTAATGGTGCATACCATTTGTAGTCTTGAGTTCTTTTAGAATAAATTGGAACAACAATCTTTACAGAAATCTTGTTATTTTAAATGATATCATTTTAATATCAAAATGTTATCATTTTGATATCATTATAATATTTGTCACAATATAACTACTATATAATATCAAAATGATGATAAATAATATCTTAACAATATTGAAATTATATTGTAATAATATTGTTAATGATATTGTTAAGATTATCTTAATGACCTTGTTTTGATATTTATTATAAGATATCAAAACAATGTCATTACAATTATGTTTATATCATAATGATAAATGATATCATGATGATATTGTAATGCAATTGTATGATATTATTTTGATATTATTACAATATCAAAATGGGTCATTAAGATGATCTTAATGGTATTGTTTGAAATTTTAGGATTTCAGTAAAGATATGTCTTATCACATATATTTAGTAATTCAATTGGTTTTCTTACAAAAGTCTTAAAATAAAAAAATTTAAAAATATATTTTATCAGGCATTTACATTATTATTGGTGATTTATGTTAGTACAACCAGTTACTAAGTTGTATAAAAAATACCTATTACATAAGTCTAATAAAACAGTTACTTGGCACTACGTAACCTCATAACTGCGGCACTATCTGACTATTATGCCTTATATGTATTTGCAATAAGAATATGATTAGTGAAATTTGCTGAGCTGTGCTCAGTAAATCCACCAATTATATTGC